CAGTGATAACCTGTAACAATCAGTAATAACCAGTAACAATCAGTGATAACCAGTAACAATCAGTGATAACCAGTAACAATCAGTGATAACCAGTAACAATCAGTGATAACCTGTAACAATCAGTGATAACCTGTAACAATCAGTAATAACCAGTAACAATCAGTGATAACCTGTAACAATCAGTAATAACCAGTAACAATCAGTGATAACCTGTAACAATCAGTAATAACCAGTAACAATCAGTGATAACCTGTAACAATCAGTAACAACCTGTAACAATCGGTGATAACCAGTAACAATCACTGATAACCTGTAACAATCACTAACAACCTGTAACAATCAGTGATAACCAGTAACAACCAGATAACCAGTAATAATCAGTAACAATCAGTAATATCCACTAATAACCAGTAACAACCAATAATAATCAGTACAAACCACTAATAGTCAGTAATAACCAGTAACAATCAGTAATAACCAATAACAATCAGTGATAATCAGTAATAACCAATAACAATCAGTAATAACCAATAACAATCAGTGATAATCAGTAATAACCAGTGATAACGAGTAACAGTCAGTAACAACCAATAACAATCAGTGATAAGACAAGGATGACGTATAATAGAGGATATTGTTATGGCATGTTTTCACCTAAATATGGTTACCTGAACAAAAGAACAAGCAGATTCTGTTAATAAACTACCTTCATGTTCAGAGAAGAAGTTTCACGTTTCTAAAAAACCTCATTTTCTTGTTAAATCACCGTGAAAGATCAGCAGAAAGGATATAAGACTTGAGCCATTTTCCATTTACCTGTTTTATTATGAATGTATTTCAACAGTTCTTTCGTTAGTGGAAGTTCACGATAATCGATCGATTTTTGATTTTTTCTGCCACGTGCGGGAGGGAAGTAATGTTCAGAGTTATATTGGCTGCAGGCAATCCAACATTCTGGCTTACCTAATCTGTTCAAACACTTTCGTGAATTTACTGTTGACAGAACATAACCTAGTCTGAGTTTGTTTCATAATGCAGCATCCAGGGATAAACTTTTAGCTAGCTCTCACCTATATACAGAAAAATAAAGTTTTAACCGAGAGCACGTAACAAAGGTTTAGGCGCAAAGATTAGCCATTATATATTACATGACATTCAAAGTTTTAGACGCAAAAATTGGCCATTATATATTACATGACATTCAAAGTTTTAGACGCAAAAATTGGCCATTATATATTACATGACATTCAAAGTTTTAGACGCAAAGATTAGCCATTATATATTACATGGCATTCAAAGTTTTAGACGCAAAAATTAGCCATTATATATTACATGACATTCAAAGTTTTAGACGCAAAGATTAGCCATTATATATAACATGACATTCAAAGTTTTAGACACAATATTTAGCCATTATATATATTACATGACATTCAAAGTTTTAGACGCAAAGATTAGCCATTATATATTATACAAATGAATGATCACACATCTTTGACAGGTATGATGTGCCTTTTTGGAGGAGAGTGGGGGGTATATGGATTATATATTTCTAATTCACACAAAAAAAACATTTTTATTATTTTACGATAAAAATCATATTCCTGTTAATTTTCCCACTTCGGACTCAAAATCGGGGGGCGTATATAAATAACGTTTGAGTTCTATCTTCTGCCTCTCATCGTCCACCCGAACTAATGGTTTCTGTTATTGTACGAAAGGCCTCTTGGGTCATTTTGTGGAACAGAAAACGTAGGTCTAAAATGCTATTTTGACACGCCTCTGGGTTTGAATCCGTAATGATTTTGTTTGAAGTTAAGCACAAAGCTACACAATGGGCTATCTGTGCTCTGCCCACCACAGGATCGAAACCCGGTTTCTAGCGTTGTAATTCCGCAGAGCCCATTGTGTAGCTTTGTGCTTAATTACAAAACAAACAAAGGTACATGTTTAGTATACATTACATATTTTTGTCCAACAACAACAACACCAGTTTAATAATATACAGAATAAATATATATATATATAATAAACATTAATATCAACACACGGACTAACTGAGCTCTTCACACCACAGTTATCGAAACCCGATTTTTATAGTTATAAGCCCCTAGA